GTTAAAACTGTCATTCGCACCAGCTGGCAGATGGACCACCAACAGAAGGACTGAAGATCCCCGGGCTTTGAGTGTGTTGAACGTGTAAAATCAATGCCCAACAGATGTACTGTCACGCAAATCCCCGCTAGAACGCCGTGACTCTGTCACAGTAACTCAAATAATCGAATTCTGTTGGCTAAGAAAGCAAAGCTTAGCATAGATCGCTGTGATTTAGACAATTAGCCTGCACATATAGTGTTGAGGATGTTATTACTTTATTTATTTTATACGAGTTTTTACGTCAGTAAGTGCTTGTGTATTTTATTCCCTCACAGGTAATTATTTTAGTATTTATTTCTATTTATTCTAGGATTGATTAATGTTTTGAATTAGCTTTTATTTTTATATTTTGAAATAATGTATTTCCTGCAGGTAAGCCCACGTGTCGCTGCGCTCTGGGTTTCACCGGTCCTCTGTGTGAGAAGCGTGTTTGTGACAGTTACTGTCTGAACGGAGGCACATGTGAGGTGACCCTAGGGAACCAACCCGTGTGCCACTGTCTGGCAGAATACACCGGAGAACGCTGTCAACACCGTGAGTATCAGCTTGTTTCATGATTGTTTTTAGTGTTCATTAGCTTAGTTTTGATACCTAGTCTACTATTAGGCAACATTATCGACATCGTAGGCCTGCTTAGTAGGCTGCTATCACACTGTTAACTTAGCAGCATGCAAACGTCAAACTGTTGGAATCAATTGCGAGTAGCACTATTTCGACACTTAAAGCACTTGAAATTAGTCAGTTGATTTGAAGAGGAGGTAAGATATGAATATGGCATACATTGCTTCAGATCAGATTCATTATAATTGTCTCTCTTTCTATCTGATGACAGATATTTGTCACCATTATTGCGTGAACTCCAAAGGCTGCACTCTGTCCGGCTCGGGACACGTGGAGTGTGTGTGTCCCACCCGCTACGAGGGGCCAAAATGCGAGACGGACCGATGTCTTCGCTGCCGAGGGGCCCCGTGTATCATAGACGAAGAGACTGGAGACGTCGCCTGCAAGTGTGTATAAAGTGACATTAGCACTAATTTATTAAGTAATATTATACAATATATTGAAAGTGTAAATATAAAATAGGGGTTAAAATAAAATATAATATAGTATATTATATAATATAATTATATAATATAAATGTGTATGTATATATATATATATATATATATATATATATTGTATGTGTGCGTGTATGTATACAGTATATTATATCATATATAGCTATCAATATATAGTTTTACATTTGTTGTGCATAAATACTCAATTTTTTTAATAATTCATATTATTTGATTTATGACTCAGTATCAAGATTAAGCAACAAAATTGAGATCAAATTTCATCGTTGTTGTTGTTCACATGTGTGTTCGCAGCTGTACGAACGGCAGAATCGCAGCCAGCTGTCAGTTGTGTGACGGATACTGTTATAACGGCGGAACCTGCCACCTCGACTCTGAGACGGCCCTGCCGTTCTGTCAGTGAGTAATTTCTTAATAGCTTTCTACGGCAACAAATTGCCTGCCGTTATTTAGATTCATTTATTTTAAATTGTTCCCTCCGGCAACCTCTTTAATAGGATTTTTTCTGCTCGTCTGACTTGGTAGGATGAATGTTTTGTAAAGGTGAACAGGAGAGCGGGAATATTATAGCAGAAGAGTGAATTATCTTAGCAGGGGTCCATAATCTGCCACTTATATCGACCTCTATATTTGTATGTTAGAGAGAGGCAGAGAAACCAATGAGAGACACCAGCGGAAAAGAGTACAGGATATAAACGCAAAAAGACAGAGAAGAAAACAGTAAAACTGAAGAAACAAAAGTAGTTCTGCTTTCCTATTAATTCCTGCTGTTAAAGGGACAGTTCTAAAGAAAAAAAATGACTGTAAAAGTAAAGAAATTAAAAAGTGCTTCTCTTTTATAGTTGATTTATACGGAAAAAGCCCTTAAAGGGACAGTGCGCCCACAAATTTAAATTTAATTTCATTTAAATCTCATTCCAAACCTGTATAAGAATCTTCTTCAGAACACACACACAAAAATCTTTATAAGAAATTAAGTCACTGTTTTCCAGGAAATTACAATGAACAGGAAGTGAAGCTTTAAAGCTTCAATAAAGGATTTAGATGTGCAATAAAAGTATTGTAAAAAATGGTTCATGAAACTTATTCAATATTTTCTAAGACATCTAAAGCCATACAAGAGTTTTGTGAGAAAGTTAAGTCGTTAAACGCTCTAAAGATCAGTGAGTCAGATTTGTGAGTGAATCATTCAGATGGGTTTGCGAACTGAATCAGCTGATTCATTAACAAAATTTGACTCTCTTATTGACAAGATCTAAAAGAATGATTTATTCATGAATCAGACTTTTTTTCACAAACACACCAAGACCGAGCTTATAAACAGTTAGCCAATCATAACAGAGCTCATTTACATAGACTGTTTTGCTACTGTACCTTTACAAGTATGTTTAATTTAAAAACTCAGAGAAAGGTTGGAAATAGTCATGAGCTAATTTACAATATTTTTGGTGCAAGAAACCTTGACATTATAAATGGAATGCTAAGTATATTTCAAGTTTTCTAGAGAGAAAAATACTATATAGCTGAAGAAAAATATCCCTTAAAAGGGACAGTACACCCCAAAAATTTAATTTTCATTCCATCCAAATCTCATTGCACACCTTTGTGACTTCCTTTCTTCTGCAGAACACATTAAAAAAAATAATTTAACAAGAAAGTAATTTACTATTCTCTAGGAAACTGCAGTGAACAGGAAGTGAAGCTTTGTAGCTTCAATTAAGAATGCAGACACATCATACAACTGTTGTAAAAATGTAATTTAAGTCATTAATCGCTGTGAGTCACTCAGATTTGTGAATGAATCATTCAGATGGGTTTGCGAACTGAATCAACTGATTCATTGACAAAATCGGACTCTCTGATCGACGAGATCTTAAAGAATTAAGTATTCATGAATCAGACATTGCTACTTTTCTCAAGAACACACCAAGATGAGCTCATGAATGGCTAGCCAATCACAACATAGCTCATTTACATAGTCTTAAAGGTACAGTAGCAAAAAAAGCCCGTTTCACTCAAAAGTTTGGAGAAAGGTTGGAAAATGGTCACAAAGAACTAAAGTACAAAGTTTTTGGTGCAAGAAACCTTGACACTGAATTGAATGTTAAGTACATCGTTTCTAGTGTCACTGAATGGAATTGTGCATTTAATAATCGCTTTAAAGCAAGTGAGAGAAACCGACCACAATGAAATGGACGGAGAGTGAAACTGTTATTGCGCTAATAGCGGCAACTCATTTGAATCCTTTTTACATAAAATGACTGATTTTTTTTGTCCTTTGAAAAAAAAAATCCATACGTGAAGAAAGAAATTGATAGATGGGCGGCAGAAAGCGACAAAGGTGTTAAGCCATTGTACAGCAACTGAATGCGGCAGTGGACGTACTCCGTCTTTCAGCTGAAATGATTTGAGATTTGTCTGGCTGCCGTGAATTCCTCAGTGATGGAGCTTTTACTTTCCTCTTCAACACATAATAAACCCTTCCAGACTAATATTTTTTTTTATATGCCTACATTTTTCTTGTTTGCCAAAGGCATTTTATCTGGAGGAACAGGATATGGTGCTCTTTCAAAAACATTTGGAGGAAAAAATGTGTAAATCACCATTTTTTTCCTGAAGTAAATCAGCCTGAATGGATCAAACTAGTGAAAATGAATGGGATGGCAAACATCAGTCCTTCCAAGAAGAATAAGTATTCATAAAAGTATGAATCCCCTTCTTAATGTCAGGCCAAGCAAAGTCAGAAGTCTCTCAAAGTCTCTTCCTTTACGTGTTCTTGAAGAAAATCTCACTGAAGATGGACACAAATCCTTTATTGGCTTTAACCAGGAGACCTGGTCTTCGTTTCCGCTTCTTTTTCCCATTTCTCGTCGCCATTGATGGTCTGATAAAGCCATTGTACCCTTCAGGGGCGAATCAATTTGCATTCAAATGAATCAATCTTGTGTTTTTCTTTGGCTGCTGAAGGTGAAGGGTTGGTAATGATGGTGGCCAGACATTGCCTAGAAAAATGAGTGTGTCCTGCTTATATAGACCTGCTTGATTTCAAATCACCCCATCAAAGGCTCTTTTTTTGTCTTTTGTTTGTTCGTCCTCTATTTCATTATCTTTCTTGAGCAGTGTTTCATTAGAGCTTGCTTTAGTGGGTCTTAGTAGATTAAGGTAGCTGGAGATACTGCTAGAGTTTTGTATTAAATTTGAATAAAGGACTTGTGTGTCCAGCTAGTTTGTGGTTTGCATTAATCGAAAAGTAGTCTTTCATTTGGATCATATCATTCCTAGAAGACGTTCTTTAAAGGGGTCATATGATGCAATTTCAAATTTTCAATTTAGTACAATTTACAAGCTGTTCGTGCATAGATAAGATCCCTAAAGTTGCAAAGATTAAAGTCTCAAATCCAAAGAGATATTCTTTATAAAAGTTAAGACTCGTCCACACCCTCCTAAAACGCCTCGTTTAAACACACCCCCACATGTCTACGTCACTGTGTGGGAAGATTTACACATAACACCGCCCAAATGTTCACGCAACGAAAGAAGGCATAACTTTTATTCTCGCTGTAGTATTGTTGC